CCCTATAGTCACCAGAATGGAGGTGTGCAGACAGCAAGTGACCAATGAACAGATACCAAAAAAAAAAAAGAATTTCCACACCTTTATCTCTGCAGTTCTGTCAGGCATCCGTGGCTTTTCTGATCCTTCCTCTGCTTGGTCTCACCCAAGATGGCGGCTCCTGGAGCAGCTGAGCATCTTGAATCAGAAAGCAATGGATTTCTTGCCTCTGCTACAAATTCCTCTAGCTGTTAGCTTTCTAACCTTCTAAATATTCCTGTATATGTGGTTCAGAGTTATGGGACCATCCCCTGAGCCTGCTTGGTTGTGTATTCTGCATTGTTGCTGACGGAGCTCCTTACTGCATTTCCACCCAATCCACCATCTTGTTTGTTCCCCACACCTTTATTGATTTTAAAGCATTCAATGTCCCCTTGTTCTGTTCGATCAACAACTGTCTCTTTGTCTGTGTACAGGTTCCTCATGAGTACAATTAAGTGTTCCAAGTTCCAGAATACTCATTCTCCACGATGTTGCCCATAGTTTGTCATAATCCACACAATCAAAAGTCTTTGGGTAGTCAAAAAAGCACAGGTAAACATATTTTTTGGTGCTCTCTACTTTCAGCCAAGATCCATCCAGTGCCAGCAATGATGACACTCATTCCACATCTATCTAGATCTGGCCTGAACCTCAGAAAGCTCCATGTCAATGTACTACCTCAACTGTTTTTAAATTATCTTTAGTGAAATTTTACTTGCATGTGATATTAATGACATACTGCCCAATGATTTCCACATTTCTTTGGGTCATCTTTCTTTGGAATGGGCACAAATAAGGATCTCTGTCTTTCAGTTGGCCAGGTAACTGTCTTCCAAATTTCTTGGCATAGATGAGTAGGTGTTTCTGTGCTGCATCCGTTTTTTGAAAGATTTCAATTTGAGTTCCACCAATTCCCGGAGCCTTGTTCTTTGCCAATGCCTTCACTGTCCCTTGGATTTTTTCCTTTAGTATCATTGGCTCTTATCATATGCCACCACTTGAAAGGTTGAACAGTGACCATTTCATTTGGGTACAGTGATTCTGTATATTCCTTCCATCTTCTTTAATGATTTCTTCAGTTCCCCCAGCTTGAGAAATGCTGAGCATGTTATATTATTCCCTTTTGGTTTTCTGACTCCAGGTCTTTGCACATTTGATTATAATATTTGCCGTTGTCTTCTCGAGATGACGTTTGAAATTTTCTCGAGATGCCCTTTGAAATTTTCTGTTCAGCTCTTGTACCTCCTCATTTCTTCCATTTGCTTTAGCATCTCTACACTGGAGAGCAAGATTCAGAGTCTCTTCTGACATACATTTGGGTCTTTTTCTTCTTGTCTTCTTAATGACTATTTTCTTTCTTCATGTATGTTGTTCTTGATGTCACTTCACAACTCCTCAGGTCTTCAGTCATTAATGTCAAATTCATCAAATTTGTTCTTGAGATGATCTCTAAATTCAAGTGGATATGTTCTTCCAGTAGTATGTAAGAATTCCATTTGCTCAATATTTTCACAAGTGCTTGGTCAATTTATTTTTACTTTACAGCATTCTGATGAATATATCTCATAACTCAGAATTAATTTATATCTGTTGTAAGTATTAATGTTGAGCATCTTTCTAATCTTTCTATGTCCTTATTGGCCATTTGGGTATTTACTTTTGTGAGGTGTCTGGTTATTTTGCTAATTTTCTTAAATCAGGTTGCCCTTTTCTAATTATGTATACATATCAATGGACTCAAGTGTGGCAACAATTGTGAGGTTGGCCCAGGACTGGGCAGTGTTTCAGTCTGTTGTATATAGGGTCACTATGAGTTGGTACTGACTTGATGGCACCTAACAACAAATTATATATATATTGTCTTGGTGTGGCACTGTGGGCTAATGCATCAGACTACAAAGTCATTTGAACTGTAAGGTCGATGGTTCAAGATCATCAGCTGCTCCTTGGAAACCCTATACAGGGTCGCTATGGGTTGGAATCAACTTGATGGCACTTAACAATAACATATATATACATACAAACATACACACACACACATATATATATTATATATATGTATATATTATATATATTATATATATATATACACTAGATCACAACTACAGGTTGGAGCTTCAAGCTCACCAGCCATTCCACCATGGAAGAAAGACTTTCTTCTCTTGCAAAGGTATTTGCTGCTGTTATCAGGTCAGTTTCAACTCATAGCGGCATTATGCACAACAGAATGAAACACTGTCCCATCCTTGGGCCAACCTCACAGTCATTACACTTGAGCCCATTGCTGCTGTTACTGTGCTAATTCATGTCATTGGATGTCTTCATTTTTTTCACTGACCTTCCACTGTGCAAAGATATACAGCCTCAGAAACACTGTGCACTCAAAACATACTTGGTGGCATTTAACAACAACAACAAATACTTCTGTGTGTATATCTATGTGAGAGAGAGACAGTTATCTTCTATTTGATTTTCCTTTCCACTTTAGTATCTTTCATTGAACAAATATTCTTTTTTATATATTTTATTGTGAATTATGTGGTAGTTTACATGGGAGAACATTTGTTTTATATTCATCCTATCCTATATCGTTTCATTGCCATGGTTTACAATCGCCTCCATACATTATCAAACAACCAAAGGGTATATACCCTGTAAGCCTGCCAACCCCCCTCCCCTGGTCATCAACACACAGCCCCTCTCCCTCTGGGTCTAAAGTCCCCAGCTGCTCCATCTCTCCACGTCATCGTCTCTGCCTCCATCTCTGGCATCACTGCTTCTCTGGGTAGGGTCCCGCTCTCTGCTCTTCTCCCTTGTGAGGAAATATTCGTAATTTTAAAAACATCCATGTATCAGCTTTTTTTTAAGAATCAGTTAGATTCTTTTGTGCCCTCTTTACGAAATTAGAGTCTAAGTTAAATTGGTTCCTTATCACTTTTTAGACAATACATTGTTCTGACCCATAGTGACCCTGTATAGGGTTTCCAAGGAGCGGCTGGTGAACTTGAACCATCAACTCTGTGGTTCAAACTGACTTTGCTGTCTACCGCATTAATGCACAGCACCATGCCAGGATTCCAGACAATACATAGACCTTTAAAAAACAAAACTGAGTGTCACAGAGCTGATTCCAACTCATTATGACGTTTTATAGGGTTTCCAAGGCTGTAAATCCATATAGGAGCAGAAATCTCATCTTTCTCCCGAAGAGTAGCTAGTGTGTTTGAACTTTGGACCTTGTATTTAGCAGCCCAATGCTGAACTCATAGCACCACCAGGCCTCCCTTAAACAGCACTCTTATTTCCCTCTTTCCTGTTTTTTTTTTGAAACTCTTTATTGCAAATTGAGTGAAAGCTGGCAGAGAAATTCCTCTGTATTACATTCAACAATCATACAATTTGTACGACTACAATCTCCTCCATGAAAGAACAGTTATCCTACTTCCTCCCTGTGAGACTCTTACCATTTATTCTGAATCCATTAATTTTACATATATTTTAAGCCTTATGAGACATTGTTATTTTTGTTTAAATAATCAGTGTGAATTTAAATTTAACTAAGTACTTAGCTTTTACTGATAATTCTTTCCTGCATTTCTGTTCTTCTATCTGGAATTATTTTCCATCATTATGAATAACACCTGTTGGTATTTCCATTAGTGCAATGCAGATATGCTGTCTCCAAATGCTCTTACATTATGTTTGTCTGAAAATGTTCTGTTCCCAGCCAGTACACTTCATACATAGCTACCATCTGTCAGTGGAGGCTTGCAGGTTACTGTGAGATTGAATGGGTTTCAGTAGAGCTTCCCAATTAGGATGGACTAGGAAGAAAGGTGATCTGCTTCCATATATAAGCCCGTGAAAACCCTATTGGTCACAGTGGTCTCATCTGTAATCTGTCTGTGAGGATTGATGGGACCAGACAGCATTTCGCTCCATTGTGCATGACAGGACTATGAGTAAGGGGCCAACTAGACAGCAACTGCCAGCAATATAGTAGGAATGAAAACAAGCAAAGATGACAATTATAACCTAGACAACACTTCTCATGTGCCAAATACAGAGCTAAACATTTACTTTATGTAGTAATGTAATCCATTCTTCACTTCTATGAGGTGGTTGTACAAGTTTTATTCCTCCATAGTACAAATGAGCCAAGTAAACTTAGAAGTTGGGTAGCTTGTGTGTAAGATTTAGCTAGCAGATGGTAATAGTCAGAATTCAAATACAGATCTTTTTGGTATTTAAGCCATTCTCTTTACTGCTTTACTATATTGTCTTCAGTTTGTAATTGCATACAATGTTATTTTATTGTCACTGTGTACTTGCAAGTATTCATCTGGAGATTTGCTATTTACAATCATGTCTTATCAAGTGAGTGCTTTTTACAGTTAATTTCATTTTTTGTTGTTACAGGTGAAAAACCATACAAATGTCAAATTTGCAATCAATCTTTTAGAATTAAGAAAACTTTAACAAAACACCTGGTTATTCACTCTGATGCTCGACCTTTCAACTGCCAGCACTGTAATGCAACATTTAAACGAAAAGACAAGCTGAAATACCACATTGACCATGTTCATGGTATAAAATCTCCTGATGATCCTCTCAGTAATTCTGAGGAAAAACTTGTATCATTGCCTGTAGAGTACTCACCTGATGATAAAATATTTCAAGCTGAAACAAAACAGTATATGGATCAGACCAAAGTTTATCAGTCAGAAGCCAAGACAATGTTACAGAACGTGTCTGCTGAAGTATGTGTTCCAGTAACATTGGTTCCAGTTCAGATGCCTGACACGCAGAGTGACTTAGTGCGTCACACTACTACACTTCCACCGTCTTCTCACGAGATCCTTCCGACACAGTCACAGTCAACGGACTATCCACGAGCAACTGATTTAGCTTTCCTGGAAAAATACACTCTTACTCCTCAACCTGCAAATATAGTTCATCCAGTTCGACCTGAACAAATGCTAGATCCTAGAGAACACTCTTATCTTGGAACATTACTGGGGCTTGATAACACTACTGCTGTCCAAAACATTTCTAATAGTGAACATCATTCATAAGTCAGTTTAAACATTCCACAGACTTTTTTTAGGTGGATGTGTGTTCATTGCAATCAAGAGCTGATGGCTTTTAAATTAGTAGGGCTGCAATATTTTTCGTTTTCTCTCACTTCTCAAGTCCTCAGTACAATTTCAAATCAAGAAAAATATGTATATCTGTTTATTGAACATATGGATATTTGGGTACATTTTGTGGTATCACATTCAAATTGAACATTTGGGGATTTTAAAAGATTATTTAGTGCTAGTTTCTAATGATTTCTCGAAAAATGTTTTCAGAATTATTAGCTGATGACATTTTTAGTGTTTGTTTTTCATCATCAGTGAAAAATTTTATTCTTCTATAATCTCATTTCTCTTTCCTCCCTTTCCTGTCATCCAAACAAGGACCATGTAGCCAATAAGAAGAAAATTAAATGTTGCTATTTGCAACTGTACCTAAAGACTCGTCATAAAATCATCCAGAATTTTGTTATTGCAAGTTAGGAATTTGAATTTGAAAGGATACGTTGGCTAGTTCTCTGTTGTTTTCCCTTCTGTCCATAATTTAAGATCATTATCCTTTGGGCTTTTGCTAAACCCAAGACCAGAGAGCTGTCTAAAGTAAGATTAAAGTCTTTTTAAACAACATGTAGGCTTAAAATAATTATCTAGATAATTGGTTTTTGCCTATATTTTAATTATAAGAAATGTAAATTTATAACCAGGCCTTCAATTATATAAGTTGAAAATATGTAAGTTTTAACTAGATGTTTCAAGGTAAGTATACTTCTTATATTTTGCCATATATTTCAGAAACAATATGTCCTTGCATATATCTTCATTAACTATAGGAGGAGTGATTATAACTCATTAATGAAATTTAATTGAACAAGCCACCTTTGGTTTCATTTACCTTGGTTGACTGAAACTTTGAAAAACAGAATGTAGGTATTTGGTGCATAGTTGTTCTGTTAGAAAAGGTGCCAAAATCTGTGACTTAACTGAGTACCATTTACTTTAATTAAATGGAACCACTACTTGTATGGAGATTTACATGTAATACAGGTTTTTACTTTTGCTTTAGGCATAATCATAATGTCTGCGATTACCCTTGATTTTAGTTTTCTATGAGACAAGAGTGGAGTATTTGGTGAAAGGAAATGATAGTTACAGCAAAACCTTACTGATGAAAGTTAACTGAGGGACAGTCAGTCAAAAATTTAAAACACTTTTAAAGATGTGCACTTTCAATATTTTTAAATCAATTTAAACTTAAACTAGGATATTGCCTAGTTGTTGCTTGAAGGATTAGAATAGTCCAGGATGATTAATTATTAGCATATCGCCTGTATGTAAACTACTGGGAGAAAAAAGTTTTAAAAGTTTTCCTTTTCAGTCTTGTTTACACTCCTAATTGCTTTAAGCACTTTCTTTGAGTAAACTGTAAAGTTTGGCCCAGCCTTTGTGGAAAAAAAAAAAAAAAAAAAATCACAAGTAAAATAATCAAAATTTAATTACTAAAATGTAACTACTTAATAATGGGAATTTTTTTGCTTAAGCACTTAACAAATGGAGGTACTTTATAGGAACATAAACCATACTAGTGAAGAGAAAACGAGAAAAAAGGTTTGAGGCATTTAACCAAAGTAGCTCATCTAAATAGTAAAACCAACCTGAGTTTTGCCTCACTTATCAGGATTTGGTTGTAATTATTCTAGGACCAGTGGCATAGTTAAAGTATTAGTTCTTCTTTTTTAAGCATTCTTATTTACTTTTGTGTAAAAATGTTGTATCTGGGGTACTTAGATAATTGAGCTTGACTACATGAGGTACTATTAGTCAGCTAGCCTTTCAAATGAACTTTTAAAAACATATAAATCTGAATGTGGTACTGGCGGTTACGTGCCGTGGAGTCAGTTCCGACTCTCAGTGACCCTGTATAGCGTGTCTAGGGCTGTAAATCTTTACGGGAGCAGAAAGCCTCATCTTTCTCCAACAGAACTGCTGGTAGTTTCGAACTGCCGACCTTGAGGTTAGCAGCCTGACTTGTAACCATTACACTACCAGAGTTCCTGAATCTTAATGTAATGAAAAGAAATTATACATAAAAATGTACCCTGCTTTACATAAAAGTCACTGTAGAAAAGTTTGGACTTATAAAAAGGTAAATGGAATACATATGTGTGTATGATATAGCGCCGTAGGTTAATGTGCTGAACCGCAAAGTTGTTTAAACTGCAAGGTCTAAGGTTCAAGGTTACCATCTGCTCCTCAGAAAGCTTATACAGGGTCGCTATGGATTGGAACTGACTCGACAGCACTTAACAACAAACAAAAACAACATGGTATGTTATATGTTTGGTGGCAGGAAAAAGAGGATGATGCATTTTTACATTGAAAATAATACTTTGCTATTCGCAGTCATTTACTTTAGGGTTCTTTTAATAATGTCCTATTTATTTAACTATATCATTTGGTTTGTAGGAATTGGCTTATGTAGAGCTAGAATAATACATCTCTTATTGAAAAGTAAATATAATTATATTTAGTTATTATTGTAAGTAACTTTTTCTGTTTGATAAAATGCTATCTTATGTTATCTCATTTGAATCTTATCATCAGCTCTGAAATATAAAGGTCATACTGGATTCCCATTTTAGAGATGAAACACCTGAGGTTAAGATAAGGGACTCATGGTTTAGTAAGTGGCAAAGCCATTAGCAACAAAAGAAAACTAACATTAATGAGTGCTTACTTTGTGCCAGGCCCTGCATTCTCTCACTTAATCTTCAACAGGTAGCATCAACTGTTACCGAGAATCTCAGAGAGCAAACAAAAAAAGAATCCATCTGCTGCCTCTAATTCCCCCAAATATAAGACGTTTAAAATGGTGAAAACCTCATGGATTTGGGCAAACTGAATGTATATAATGAAGTTGGCACAAAAATATGAAATGAGGACTATTCTCTTCAGTTGACCTTTGGTAATGTTTGATTTAGAATATTTTGGGCAAATGTTCCAGCAAGTCTAAAATCCATTATTTCTGTAACAATTTTGAATCTTGCAACAAATTTTAGCCTCATTCAACTTTAAAAAATTTTTATGACCATAATTTATTGTTTTAAATTATTTTTTTAGCTGATAGCACTTAACAGTTAGCACTTAACCTGTAAATTGAATAATTTATAAGTACAGAAATTCATTAACATAATCAGTTTTTACTTACATGCACCAAAGATTTTTTGTAGGTCTTGAATAGTTTAAGATAATTTAAATTCTTTGTTGTATGAATAAATATTTTCCAAAGAAGCACAGTGGAAGTCTTAGGATTATGGATTCTTTAAAAAACAAAAAAAAGTTTGTTTGAATAGTGAGACTAAGTATTACATGTTTGTGCTTATGTTTATAAAAATAAGAGCAGAAGAAAATACTCTGGGAATAGTCCTACTGACAAACCAACTACAAGTAAGAGTACTCTGTTTTCCTCAGTTAACTGAATGGTTTTTTTAATGGACACTATTAAATGCTTAATACTAACCTTATTTTTTACACTACACTATTAGAATGATTTTTGCCTTAGATTTTTTTTTTTTTTTTTGTCATGTTGAGGTTATTTTTGTAAAAAAAAAAAAAAGTGTGTGTGTGTGTGTGTATATATATACACACATACATAAAAGATGTATGTGTGTGTGTATATATACATATATATGTATATATACACACACACATACATATTTTTTTGCAGTCTAACTACCATTTAAAGTTAGGATTTATTCCTCATGCCAGCAAGATTTAACCAACAGCTGTAAAATAGTGGTCTTTCTGTACTTTTAAGTAACTTAGACATTTATTGCTGGGGAGAGGAGTAGCAAAAAATAGCATTTTAAACTGGTGCTTTAAGTGACTTCTTTAAGGGATAGTAGGTCATGAAGCAGGTCCACTAATAATTTTCTGTCGACCTTAATATGTGTCAAAACATCTTTGTTAGGTGACTTTAAGCTGTTAGTTAAGGGCTAATAAATATTTGCTTTTCATTCTATAATTGCTGTCAAAACCACAAAGTGATATGTTTATAATCTTGAATGTTCTTCCCACCACATCACTCTAACATATCATGGTGAAAAGTTAGATTTTGACCATGTGCTCTTTGACTGTGTCCTTTTATTCCCAATCTTTTCTGGATTGAATGTTTTGTGCCTTTTCAATGTGCTCTCATTGCTTAAAGTTGATAAGTTGGTTCTGCTGTCTAGATTGAACTGGTTAATAAATAATATTTCTGTTGTTGTTGTTATGGGATTATGATGTGTTGCCTGCTGGCTAGGCAACTTTTTTTTTTTTTGGTTGTTTTATGTTTATGTAGGGAAACTGGCACTAAGCACTAGTGTGAACATTTGTACTCTTATGATTTATACGTCATACTGTTTTATCTCTAGTGTGGTCTTTAAAGGTACTGTGAAGCCACTTCTGGCATGTCTCTACATGCTTATTAGAAGAATCTGACAAATAAAGTAAAATAAGAGCAGTGTGTCTGCCTCTCTGTCCCCTCCCCCCTTTTTCTTTTGATGGTTCTATTGGGAACCAGGTACTATGACCATCCAGATCTACACTAAACAGCTGCTTATTTCAGTTTGCCTAAAACTGAACAAGATGTTATGGTTTGAGATGAGTTTCTCATTAGGAGCAGCAACATTCCAACCAACATAGAACTTGAGTTGATGAACTCAGGAAAAATTAAGACTTTGAACAGAGTCGTATTTGGGTTATTCCATGCTTTAGTGCCAAATTTAAAATAACTGAAATTGTATTCTTTAAAGGAATAAGTAGCATTTCTAAAACTCTAAATATTATTGTGTGAAATGTTGCTTGCTGTTAGACTGAATGATGAATATGAGAATAATTTTATAACCAATTTCTAGGAACAACAAATAATTCTTCCTCAAATTCTCTCTTCTATTGCACATATCTCTCCTGGTATAGTCTTTAGTTTTTTAGGATGGGAAGTCTTTCTCCGACCCTCCTCTTCACCTATTTCCTCTAAA